TGGACCCGAAATGGAGTCCGAGATGGACCCGAGATGGAGTCCGAGATGGACCCGAGATGGAGTCCGAGATGGAGTCCGAAGTCGAGACCGAGACCGGGACCGAGACCGAGACCGAGACCGAGACCGAGATCGGGACCGAGAACGAGACCGAGGCCGAGGCCGAGATCGAGATCGAGCCCGAGTCCGAGTCCGAGTCCGAGTCCGAGTCCGAGTCTAAGTCCGAGTCCGAGTCCGAGTTCGAGTCTGAGAGGGTGAAAGCCCAAAGCGTTCGTCTCCCAGACCCTGGGGGGTTTGGTGAGCTCCAAAAGTATAGTAGGGGGAGGACTGCAGTGGAGCCAGTTTGGCCAGGAAAGGCCAGTTTGGCCCAGGAAGGCCGGACCCAGTGTTGGGTGATGAGCTGCCCACTGGGAAGTCCAAGACTAGAGTGAACACAAACCGACAAGCGGGGTAGCTTGGTGAAGTGTTCAAGAGCCGGCTCTAGTTCCCCCGGGAGATCGACTGGCCGATGCTCCCAGTCCAAGTGTGGGTGGCACTACCTACTTGGATACCTGGTGTGGCTCAACGGAACCCGCTCTAAGCCCATGGCTAGAGCACCCAATGGCAGAAGGCGAGGAGAGTACCCAGGTGGCTCGCGTAAGGCCACGGTGTTCCGAAATGTTGTCCTAAAGGCCCAGACTGTGGAAAGGAAGAGGAGCAGTCCTCTGGGGTAGTGACCAAGGACACAGTCGTGTGGTGAGGAAGTCCCAGAGGACCGTGGGACTTAGTGGTCGGGCCTGTGGGCCTCGATCCAGTGGCAGTGTTGGCAAACACGGCCAGGGGCAGAAAGGGACTTAGTGGGGACTGACAGAGGGATATTGGGGAAGGCTATTCCCCTTGTCGGTGGGCATCCTAAGGATGCTAAGGAGTGGATCTGAGATGACCACTCACGGATGGTTTGCCTAGTCTTGGAGAGCCAAGACGGTGATGCAAGTGGTATTGGACTACCTTGTGTGGCAAAGGTGATTGGGCATGGCCTTAGCGTAACGGGCTGCTATGTCGGTGGTACCTTTGAGTGTCGGTCATGGGATCGGACACGTGGAGCACTTGGACCAAGTGCAAATGTTGAGTGGCAGGGATGCCATTCTCGGGGCTAGCAAGTCCCAAAGTCCTGGATTGGACTTATGGAGGTTGTGAATGAGACTCCTCCAAGTGGTCAGAGGTGTGGTTAAGTGACTAAAGTAGAATGGAAAATTTAGTCGCCTACAGTAGGCTTGTCGTAATGGAAAAACACTTTCAAGTTATTTGCTGTTTGTTTGTGACTTGGGGGACCAAGGCATTTGTGGGGGAGAAGCAACAATATGGGATGCACTTGACGAGTTTTTCGATGTTTTTCCCTTTGAAATTCTTTATGGGTTGCCTCCATTATGAGGTGCGGAGCATGGGATTATGTTGGAGCCGGGGACACAGCCAATTTATTGGCATCCATTTTGGTTAAGTTATGCGGAGGAACAAGAAGTTCAATGACAAGTCAAGGAGTTACTTGAGTTTGGATTTATTTAGCCAAGTAAGTCTTTATTTGGTGCTCCGGTCTTGCTTGTGAAGAAGAAGTATAGTTTAATGCAAATGTGTATTAACTACCATACCTTGAACAAAAAGACAGTGAAAGATAAGATGCCGATGCCATGTGTGGATGATATCTTAGATAAGCTTGGTGAAGCACGAGTGTTTACCAAGATTGATCTGAGGAGTGAATATCATCAAATTGTAATGGATGATGCATCTATCTCCAAGACGGCATTCAACACAAGCTTCGAGTATTGAGTTTATAGTTATGCTATTTAGTTTGATGAATGCACTAGCCACATTTATTTGGTTGATGACGAAGGTATTTGGGTATTATTTTCATGAGTTTGTGGAGATTTTCTTGGATGATATTCTTGTTTATAGCAAAAATAAAGGAGCATAAGATGCATTTGCACAAGGTTCTTTCGTTACTCTGTGATAGCAAGTTTTATGCAAAGAAGAGCAAATGTGAATTTGCAAAGTCAGAAGTGGAATATCTAAGCCATATTGTGACATCTAAGGGTGTCAAGACAGATTCTAGGAAGGTGGCTATGGTGGAGAACTGACTTACACCAACTTCAGTGGTTGAGTTACACAATTTTCTTGGTATAGCTAGTTACTACTAGCATTTCGAACATAAGTTTGTAGAGGTGGCTATTCCTTTGACACAGTTGTTGCACAAGAACGTATCATTTGAGTGGAAGACGCCACAAGAGGAGAGTTTTGTGGTGCTGAAATGATTGTTGAGTGAGGCTTCAGTGCTTTGCATTGCTAATCCATCGAAACCTTACGAAGTGACATGCGATGCGAGTGGCTATGCACTAGGAGGAGTTCTCATGCAATAGGCATGAGAGTTGAACTTTGAATCCCGTAGAGCAATGCTATTCCACATATGAGCAAAAGTTACTCTCTATTGTTCATGCTTTGCGGACGTGGTGACACTATCTTTATGGTGTAGTGTTTGTGGTGTTGATGGATCATAAACCATTTGTGTATTTTTTCACATGGAAGGAGTTGAACACTGGGAAAGTTTGTTAGATGGTTAAACTCATGGAGTTTGGGGAGTTTCCTAGTGAGCATCATCTGGGAAAATTAAATGTGGTGGCAGATGCTTTATCTCGTGTTTGTCATATGACAACATTACAAACATGGTTTTGTCATCATTTGAGTAAAGTGGTCAATAAGTTTGGGTAATTAGTTGAGCATGCTCAGGCTCAAGATGCTAAGATGGCCTCTTTGCAAGACCAGATAGAAGCCCTTTTCTCATTGGTGGATGGGATTCTTTATTACAATGGCCGTGTTTATTTGCCACGAGTGGATGCGTTAATTACTCAAGTTTTATTCCACTATTATGATTGTCCAAAGGCCAGTCATTTTGGGGGAAAGAAGACGTATGAGTTGATTAAGTGCAATTTTTATTGGAGGACTATAAAGGCTAATATCCTTAAGTATTATAAATCATGTGAGTTCTATCAGCGGGTGAAGGTGCCATGGGAGAAGCCGGGGGGACTTTTGCAACCTTTACCTATTCTTTAGAGCCGTTGGTATAGTATTTTTATGGATTTCATCACTTGTTTGCCATATATACAGAGGCAAAAAGAGCAAGTATGAGTCATAGTGGATTGGTTGATGAAGTCTGTGCTGTTGTTGGCTCTTCAAAAGACTATCACTACCTCAGACTTGGCTGCAATCTACTTGGAGAAATTTTTCCTGATTTTGGTTTGCCAGAGGTCATCATTAGTGATTGAGATTTAAAGTTCACAAATGGATTTTGGAAGAGCTTTGCAAAGGCTATGCAAGTGACTTTGAAATTCTCGAGTGGAGATTATCCTCAGACAGATGGGCAAATTGAGCTTATGAATCAGGTAGTGGAGGATATGCTACATTATAGTATTGGTCAAAAGCAAGGACAATAGGATCTATATCTTTTGTTAGTGCAATTTGCTTATAACAATAGCCAACACAATGGAACCAAACTAAGTCCTTACTTTGCCATATTTGGAATGCATCTCCAAGTTGGGAGTGCATTTGAGTAAGGATGTTTAAGATAAGTTTAATTCTGAGGCGACTGATCTGGCCACAGAACTTGATGAGATTCTGGTGGTGTGCAAATAAAATTTGTAGACAGCTTAAAATAGAGTGGAAAAGTTTACTAATAAACATCGCCAATTCTAGGAATATAAGATGGGTGATCTCATCTGATTTTTTTGTCAAGTGAACGGCAGAACACCTTGGTGCCTTTATAGACAAGGAAGAGTGACAAACTTTCCCATCGATATGCTAGTTCATATGAAGTGTTGGAGCATATTGGTAAAGCGGTTTATCGGATACAGCTACCAGCTGGGGTGAAAATTCATCCTCAACAAATTGAAAGATATACTATCTCAAAGTGACGGGCCCAATGCCTCCTTGATGTATACGGTTGTGGAAGATGGACCAAAAGCTTAAGTAGGGTTCCTTAGAAAGGGTGATCATTAATGTAACTCATCCTTGGGACAAGGACTTTGTTAGGGCGGAAGAATTGTTAGATGCCAGCTTTGACCACGTGGTCAATGTTGGTTAAAGGGAGGCTCAAGGGTATTTTAAGGCATGTTAGGATAAAGGCCTTAATCTGGGATTATAGTGAAGCTTTTGAGGTAGTTTAGGGGTGGTTGGGTGGTGAGGAACCTCAAGAGGTGGCATAGCATAATCTAAGGCAATTAGATTTCTATTTTTTTGTGCCGGATTATAACAATAGTGGAAGATAAAATCAGGGTTGTTCATTTGTTATGATTGTTTTAGTTTTGAGATTTCTTATTGATGTATTAATGGCATAATTAACATCTCTAGTTTCAATTGCTATGCTTTAATGTGCATAATCATGAATTTAAGTAAATGTTATTGTTGAAAATGTGTTGTTGATTAGGCTTGGATGTTGTAGGAAGTTGGGGGTGGCACTGGAGATCTTTGAGGCCTTGCCAGCTCAAGACAATAACTTGGAGCATCATGATCCAAGATCATTCTTCTTGGCAGGCTGTGATGGGATTCTTAGAAAATGTAGCATGAAATGGCACTGATTGACCCAAGTAAGTCTTCTCACTGTGCTCAAGTCAGGATCAGTCAACATGGAGTGCCCAAAGGGGAAAGCAAATAAATCAGTCAGCATGGAGTGCCCAAGTGGGAACACTAAGAAATCAGTCAGTGTGGAGATGCCAATTGGGAACACAAACAATTCAGTCAAATGATGAGTTATTTTGTTCCTTCCTCCACAAATCTTACTTTCTTTGTCTCCATATTGAATAGGAGTGCATGGAACTACTAAGCTGGAAGAAGACAGAGAACAACGATGGAGTTAGAGCTGCTTCCATCACCGTGCAGTACTATTTTCCTAGGATTGTTGTCATTGAGGAACCATGGGGAGCGGATTTAAAGCACTAATGCATGAAAGAATTTTGGAAGACAAAGGGGGTAACAAGTATTTCCCATCCGACGGCCGCGTGCAGACCAAGTTTAGGGTTCGCCGGGTGCGAAGGCGATGGAAGATGATGGGCTGGATGATCTCTTTAGGAATCGGCGCATAGGGGCCGCCACCATTTCCAGAATCCGAGATCTAGATCTGAAAGCACAGGATTTGCTGGTTCTGTCACCTCAGTTTTTGGCAGAGCTGTGCCAAACTGTGGGAGCATCTGATGGCGAGAGGTTCAAGATTTTAGCTGCCGTGGGTGCAGCACAACATTCCGCAGTGACGGGAATCCGCGGATTTGGTAAGCAATCAAGCCCTTTGTTGGCTGATGGCTGATGTATTCTATGTTTCAGGTTCGCGATCGGAAGGCTTGAACGCGCGTTTATACATTTCTGAAAGAAAAGATCTGTTGGAGAAGCTTGAGAGTCTTGTTCGCAAAGAACGAGCAGTCGTCGTGCGAGCCCCTCCTCAAAGTGGTAAAACGTCTCTTCTTCAGCTGTTAAAAGCCAGAACCGAATCGAAATTCAGCGACGTGTTCTGCATCAGCCTTGCAGGCATCAATGGCCACAGTTTCGAGTATATGTGGTATCAGCACTATCCTCGTGAGTACTCTAAGAAAGTCTGTTTATTTTACTCTCTGTGACATGTCTATCATTATCTTGCAGATGTTTCAATGGAGAGTCTCAACAGCAGCGAGCCTACACTTCTACTTGTCGACGAAGGGCAGAGTGGGTTTCATGCTTCTGATCTAACTCTATGGGCCAAGATTAAATCAGCGCAAGCCGGTGGTATGCTGTATATTGTGCTCGTCTCCAGCTTTGGGAGTGATGAGGGTGATACGGACGAAGGCGAGCTGCCGCCAACACCAGTTATATTTAAACCAAGTTGCGCTGTGATTATACGGTGAGGCTTAGAAATTATTCGCATGTAACTTATGTGATTCTCCTGAATGCAGGCCGCAACATGGTTCTGAATCTTCAGGTATTTATCTCCAGTTTTCGGACGCTGAATGCTCGGAGATATGGGAGAACTGGTGCAAATTCTGTGCATTTGTACCCAACAACAACGACATCCTCTACTACGTGATGGAGGTTGGAGATAGACAACCAGGGCTCATGACACACATGCTTGACTGGCTTGTGAGGAGAAAGTTCAATGACAAAAATCGGGACGACTGTGAGGAGTTTGCGAAGAGCGAGTTGCTTTCTGAACGCTTTATGGCTTCGCTATCTGAGATTCGAAGTATTTCCACGTAAGTAAGGCCCGCAGACTAGACGCCTGATGTGATTTGATGTGATTCGTGTCCAGGTTTCGTAATATGTATTGGCGACCGGAGTATGCAGGTATCCTCTCCAAATTACTGGGATCCAGTTCAGTAAGTGTCATTCTCATGTTTCCAATTTAACTATCCAATTTAACTTGCTATCTAAACCTGCAGGCTCTGGGTTTTGTGAAGAAAACAGAGCTGTCCTCGGAAGAGCTTCATGCTGCAAATAAGCTTTTGAGAAGGGGTCAATTGGTGAGGACCAAAGCCATGAACTTTATGTTTCCTTCGCCTTTGCACCGTCACTATTTTGCATCTTTCTGTGCCACTGCAACGTTAACGCTGCCCCAAGTTCAAACAATGGGCATCGAGAGCTTTCTGGTCCATGTGATTCAAAGGATGAGTGCCGGGCGTTTGGCTTGTTCTGAATCTCTTGCAACTGAAGATGGGACAATATACGAGCGACAATACCAGAATGAGTTCTATCGGTATGTATGCTATTTACCTTGTGTTGGCCTAACTGAAATGTTTTGTTACAGCGCATACTGCACACTTCTTGATGTCCCAATGTCCCCGGATGTTGGTAGACTGTATGGTGTGGCAGGATACGTTGACTTTTATCTCGCAGATCTCAAATGGGCCTTTGAAATTGCTCGGGATGGTATCAAACTTGGGGAAGTGAAGTGCCGTTACCATGCATTGATCTCCAAGGGAGTGGTGAAGAAGTATGTGGTAGTGAACATGGATGCAACTGGTGTTGTTTACAAAGATGAGGTAGGATTGGTCCAGGTGATATTTGCTGATGGTTACAAGACTGCAACAATCTATCCCTCAGGCCAAGAAGTAGTTTTACAAGCTTAGAACAGTGAATTTCTTAGCCCTTATCCAAGTTTTTTCTTAATAAATTTAAATTGTTAGTTGTTGAACTTTTTGGGCTGTGGATCTAGCCAGGTGGAGGGGGAAGATCCAGAAAGCAAATTCAATAGCAAACACACTTCTTTTCCTTCCCTCTTTATTTCTTGTTTTTTTTTTCTCATTTTTTTCTCTTAAATACAGGTTTCAACTAGCTACTATGGTAGAATAAGAGGCATTGCAAAATGAAATGGATTGTTAGTAAAAAAATTAAGATCTCTTGTTTTTATAAAAATCATAAAGAATTTTTACAAAAGAGAGCAACCCAATTTGATTAAAAATGGTGAAGATCTACTCTATAATTCTTCTTCAAACTTAATAACCAATTGGGTAAGAGGTGGTGGATAGAGATTCAAGGTTTAGAGAATCATGAAAATTTCTTGATACTTAGGAAAAATTCTTAACACTCAAAAAAAAATTTTAGCATTGAATAAAGACTTTAATGAATATAAAAAATTGATAAAGTAGAACAATTATCCCTTTAAGAGATCAAACATATTACAAGATTAAAGATGTACAATAGTAACTCTACCAAACCTTACACTAAATGCTACTTAGAGAAATGGTTAGTATATCACAAAAAAGACTACTCTAAAGATTAAAAATGAAAAAGAAGCTAAAAAGGACAATTAAGAAGAGTTAGAGTATACACATGGAGGACCATTATCAAGATCATATTTATTTCATACTTTCATTAATTTCTTAGGAACACATAAATTATACCAATCACATTAATCTTAGATAATAGAGTGTTAGTTGCAATTGAGATCAAGATCATTGGATTACAAATTTATCAACTCATTACTGGACAAAGAAATCTTGATGCTCAAGAAAAATTAACATTACTACTTTAATTACTCTTCAAGCTTACATGTGGATGATAGTGTTGAAGTATAGTTTCATATTTTAGCAAGTACCTTAAGTTGAAATGAAGATTTATATGGAGGTTATAAATGAGACACTTCCAAATAGTCAAAAGGAGTAAAATAGAAAATTTAGTTGCTTTTAAGTAATATGTAACTTATAATAATATACCATTTTTATGGGATTGAATTTAGTTGTAAGATTCTAAACCTTATGAATATACATATTTTGATATCTTGAGTACTTATATTGGTGGAGTTCAGGGGCACTATAATTTATCTCTAGAAGGCAAAATTTTTTAACAGTATTTTTTGCTTAATGTTTGGGTTTGTTTTTTGTTGTCTTCTAAATCTAAATCTATAGAAAATAAAGTTGTTAAACAAGTATTAGTATAGAAATTTTTAGCAACTATCAAGATGGAAATAAAGAAATAAGAAAAAAGTGCATATACTCAAAGCTTGGGTAATAGAGGACCTCATGTTATAAGAGACTTTGTTCAAGAAGAAAGCTAAATAACAAGAGATATCTTTCTATAAAATATTTTACTCACCACAAAATAAGAAATTAAAATTTCACACCACTTAACCTCCTTAATACATAACTCAACACTTAACATAGGAAAATTATTAGAAAAGTCAACACTCTTAAGAAAATATAAACCTCCTCAATAGCAATGGTAAAACAAAAACTCTCAAGAAAATGCACTTAACTTGAAATTTTGGTAAAATTGACTCAACTATTGGAACAAAGGAATATTAAACATTAAAAACCATCAAAGACTCTACCAATGAAAGAAAAACAAAATTCTCAACTTTACCTCCCCTATAGCTTTATGTAAAAATATATTAAAAATGTTTTCCCAAGAAATAGCAAAAAGTTCATAAACCTTTCCCCATGCTTAAAATAAACAAGTGTGAGAGACAAATTCCTCCAAATCACTTCAAATTGACTCAAATTTCACATGCAAACCCTCCAAAGAAAACTTGTGAGTAAATCTATCAAAAGAGCCCAAAAAATATTATAATATTAATGTGTTCAACTCATGTCAAGCTTCCAAAATTGCTAATATGCATACTGTGAAAAAAAGGAAGTTGTATATGCTAATTTTTGTAGCAAATCCAGGAATTCTTAATGTTAAACTACATATCTCAATGAGATCTACAAACCCATGATCATCGCTTCCCAAATTGATCCCTTAATGAGCCGTGAAGAGAAGAAAACTGACTTATCTTGTCCAAAAAGAAAGGAAACTCAAGAAATCCTTAATATTTGAGCATGGTACCTAGAATTTCATAGTTGGGCATATTCCTCTTTGCTTCTAAAGTCTTTTTAGTGTTGGCACTATCACCACAACTCACATTTCTCAAGAATTTACTCCAAAATCCCAATAAAAACCAAAGAACCAAAGGGAGGATTAGCTAAAAAGCAATCTTCCTTAGTGGAGTTGCTAGTTGTTAAGATGGGAGTGTCTCAATGGTGGGGAGAACATGGTATCATACTTTGAAATCCTTTTCAAAACATCCTCTTTTATGAGCTCCCTATCCTAGAAAATGGGGAAGGAGGGGAATATACCCTTGCATCCTAACATCTTATGCTCCTAGAATATTCTAATAGTGGAATATTCTAAGGAATCTCACTCAACTATCTTCTAACAAGTAGAAATATAGGCTTATCAGGAATAACAAAAGAGAGCGAAGAAGGGAGAGGAGCTTGAGAAAGGGTATCAACATTAGCTATAAAACTCTCCGGATGATGAATAACTTTAAAATCATATATCTAAACTTTTAAAGACCATCAAGTAATATGATTAACTATGTTCTTCCACTTTAATAACAAAGTAATTGCAGCATAATCACTTTCTAATAATGTCTGAGAACCATATAAATATGCATTAAGCTTCTCGAAACCCCAAACTACTATTAAGCACTCCTCTATTATGGAGTAGTTCATCTATGATGGTTGTAATGTATAACTAATATATGTAATGGGATAGTGTTGATTAAGCACACTCAGGCTTTCTTGCATCAACACACTTTTAAGACCAATATTATAAGCATTTACGCACAATATAAAAAGTTGAGTATAGTTAAAATACATAAAAACTAAAGGAGTTATTAATAGCTCTTTGAGATCCATAAACACCCTTGCTCATAGTCCACAGACCAGATGAAAGACAATATTGTCAACTTTAATAACACTTGTAATAGTGCAGTACAATTAGAAAGATAATCAATAAAACAACTGAGATATTGCACCTTATTTAAGAAGCATTGCACATCATTTACACACTTTGGAGTAAGGAATTTTAGAATAGCCACAAGTTTGTCAGGATCAACTTGCTAACCTTCATAAGAAATACAATACCCAAGATAAGTAATGTCTTTGGATCTAAACATGCACTTCGACCATTTCAGCTTTAAACCAACTTCTCGTAATCGATCCAACACCTTACGAATATCACGGATGTGCTCTTCCCATATCCCCTCCGAGTAGATCGAGACATCATTAATAAAGTCAATAGTCACCTCTAACATATTGCAAAGAACCTCCACTAAAAAGTTGTTGGAGCATTATTCAAACAAAACAGCATTACTAAGAACTCATACAAACCAAATGGTGTATGAAAAATTCTTTTTGGCCATCGATACTTATTAGTACTCAAAAGCAAGATTCAACTTAGTGAATTAACGACTTCTCCCTAGACAATCTAGAAGATCAGTAGTATAAGGAAGAGGGTACACATCTATATATACCCAAGAACTCAAAGACTTTCAGATAACACCCTTCTCTAACATTTCTTTCATGTTCACGTGTGTAAAATTGATCTCCTTTAGTGACTGATGCCGAACAAAAACTTTGAGTGGATGACCATCCCTAGTTGGAATAAGATAATGTGTTGCAATCTTAGCCCCAGATAATAGATCAGAGTTAAAGAGATCAATATACTCCTTCTTGTGTCAATTCATTGTCGCAACATAAAAACTATCATAAGGATCTAGAGAGGGAATAAATGAATAAGATGGAAACATAGTAAAAAGTAATGAAGAAACAAAAGTGATGAAAATATAGGAGGGACAAAAGGGAATAGAAATGAAAGGAATGGAAAAAATATAAAGAAGTTTGAAATAAAATGGAAAAGCCTCAAAATCACACTTGGCATGATTGCGTTGCAAATAATCCACCCAAGGATGAAGTCAAAAGCTTAACTCTACACCACCCTTAATTATTGAAGTTCAAACTTTAGATCTCCCATACGCATAATTAGGTTTGCATCATCTGTGCATATGCATGTATACAATTGTTGCCATAAAGAATAAAAATTAGCTTTGCCTCATGACACAACTGTAGATGGCAATATGTGGGAACAAGCTAAGCAATAAAGAGTAAACTTAAATTTATATCAACTAACACAAAGAGAATAATAGAAAACCTTTTATTATAAAAACAAGCTTGGAAAGCAAACATTGGATGAACTAGTGCCAAATAAAACTTTAATGGTATTCTTGAAAGAAAGATGGAGGCATCACTAACTTATTCACATAAAGACCATTCGTTACTTATACGACTCCTTGTTTCCCTGGAAGAATCTTTATGTCAAAACTTTTTACTATAGCAGCATCAACAAGATGTTAATGCTAAGGCCTTCACCTAGAAAATGGGGGATGCAAATGCTGATAACGCTGATACATGTGACCAACCTCATCACACACCTAACAGTGGACATTATGGCTATGACCATGTCCTTGCCTTTACCTTTGAACATGAGCAACAACAACATCAACCTCCATCAAAATAGGACCATCTCCCATAGGAAGTGGAGTTAAAGGATGTGCAACGAGAAGTGGAAAAGGCAATATTTCATAATATTGTGCCAATTGAAGAGCATCGTTAAGGGTGGTTGGAGCAAGTGCATGCACAAGTCCTACAAGATTTTGATAAAGTATTGGCCACAACATTCCTAACTTGATCCACTCTAATATATTTGGTTTCATATGAAGCAAAAGGCTCTAGAAGTGAACACCAAATTGTATCACTGACTCAGATGGCCTGCCAAAGAAGATGCAATTGTTGGAAGGTATCATCACAATTGTTAGCATATCTAATTATGCACTTAAAGATGTCTAGGAGAATATTTCAATTTGCACAAGTG